AGAATTTCATAAATTTCTCATATCTTCGAGGAAATCCGGCGTATAAAAAGCTTATAAATCATTTATGTACAGTCTTTCAAGCGAGATGAGGAATTTCATTTTCAGTATTGTTTTTTTTACGTTTAGATGTTGAAAGTCAGCGATGGAAAATATATGTTCAGTCTTCAGCTTCAGAAGTGCAACGTATTATATTTTTGTGTTTTCTATCAAGGCGCGTCTATACCGGACTTACCACTAGGTCTCAGACGCAGGCAGAAATGTTTGAGTACTTCAGAGCAATTACACTGATAAACACAGGATTTGAAACATGACAATTTTTTGTTGTATCTTATGTATTTTGAGACCCTTAAATCAAATCTAAAAACAGAATTTTTCTATCACCCACAGATATTCGGTAACATCTACTTTTATGAATTACAATACGTAACATCTCATATTGCTGCATTTCTCGGCGTTTATGCGATGACGCACATATATACTCGTATAATGTTAAGACCTGTATATTCCTGTTTATTATATGCGAGCTCTATGTTTAGAGAGCATATTGCGTTTATTAGTATACTTATAGCAGCCGAGTCAGTTACGTTTTCTGTGTTGAAAAGTACTGCGATGTTATGAGTACCTAGTGTTAATTTTTGTTAAAACGATGTGTTGTTTTTAGTTTATTCTGATCTAGACTAGCTTTATTGGACAATGCCTAAAAATTGTGTAAATAGTGCGAACAGTTTTTGTTATGTGTGCGGAGAGCTAACTTTTAAATATCAAAAACGTACTTTTACTCGCCTTGTGTTGAAAGAATACGAACTTTATTTTGGAATTAAAGTTGGCGACCAAGATTAACTATGGGCCCCTCATATATGTTGTAAGACTTGTGTAACGTTATTAACAGGTTGGTTAAGAGGCGACAATCATAAAATGCCCTTGGCGGTACCAATGGTTTGGAGAGAACCCAGAGACCATACTACTGATCGCTATTTTTGCCTAACAAGTATTAAAGGTATTGGACCAAAATCAAAACATACTGTTAAGTATTTTAATTCACCATCAGCTTTGCGACTCGTTAAGCATAGTGATGAACTTTCTGACCCAGTTCCACCAGAATCTTGGTCTTTGGATGGAAAAGTCGAATCCACCGATTCTGAAAGTGATGGTACAGATAGCGTAAAAATTTCCGATCCTTCGTTTGACCTGCCAGGATGTTCGACAGCGCGGCATTTGATCACACAGGACGAACTTAATGACTTAGTTCGAGAATTAAATATGTTAAAATCTTTTAGCCTCAAGATTAAAAGGATGGAATCTTCTCCACCGTGATGTTAACATTACCTTTTACCGAAAACGGCAACAGACCTCACACGCACAATTTGTTTGACGCGTTAGGACAGAAACATGATCCAAATGATTGGCGCCTGTTCATTGATTCCTATGAACTTAGTTTAAAAGCTGTATTGGTACACACCGTTTATAAATATTCATCTGTACCTATAGCGCACGCAGTTCATATGAAGGAATCGAAAATATGCGAGTTCTGTTAGAGCATATCCGTTATAATGAATATGGATGGGCCATATATGCAGATTTAAAGGTAATAGCCATTCTTCTTGGAATGCAACTGGAATATACCACATATTGTTGTTTTCTTTGTGAATGGGACAGAGGTGCGCGAGATCGTCATTATGAACGTAGCTACTACGTCAAGTATTAACTCCGGGCCTCAAAAACATTGCTCATGAACCACTAGTTGATCCCGAAAACGTGTTTCTTCCACCTTTGCATATTATTGAGTTGGGACGGAGGAAATATTTTGTGAAAGCTATGGATCGAAATGGAAGAGGGTTTCTGCATTTAAAACAAACATTTCCGAGACTTAGTGAGTAAAAAATTAAAGAGGGCATGTTTATGGATCCACAAGTATGGAAAATCATGAAGGATGATGTATCTGACAGTGCTCTAAATGACACTGAATTACGAACTTGGAATGCTTTTAAATCAGTTACTGCAGTTACTGCGGACAATTATAAAGATATTGGGAGTGAACTAATTAATGCTTATAAAGGAATGGGATGTAACATGTATCTAAAAAATCACTTTTTGGATTCTCATCTCGATTTTTTTCCGGAAAATTTAGATGCGGTAAGTGATGAACATGGTGAACGGGTCCACCAAGACATTTCTGCGGTATCACGGCAAATGGAGTGTCAATTTGCTTGCTGATTATTGCTGGACATTGTTAAGAGATACTTCAGGAGCAACATACCGCCGTAAAACATCGACAACGATATTTTGAGATTAATGTTTATTCGAGTGTTTATTAGTACTCTTACACCCATATCCTTATATTTTACGAGTATAAGCAGCAAATAAAATGCCTTATTGCAAGAAAACCGTGGGTGATAGAAAAAATCGAATGCTATTTCCGGCTTTTTGGGTACGCTTTACATAATTGTTTTAATTTTGTTGACCAGTGTTATTAACACATCTTGAAAACTGAATCCGCATGGTGGCAGCACAAGTAACAAATGCTTCCATAAATTGAATGGCTTGCCTACTGTTCTCTGAATACGCCTATCCATGATGATGCCACAACGCAACGTTGCCAGGCTGACCTACGTTTGTGTTGGCATTTTTTTATGGTGACATCCTGATAGAATAACTGGCGACAGCTGCCACTGCTCTCCCCTCGTGTCTGGTCTCCTGGTTGCCACGCACCGCTAGGTCGAATGTTCTACCTCCCCAATGTCGAAAGTGACATTCGTTTCCATTATCAAAGCAAATAAGAAATCTGTATTGTAGTGGACGGTCCTAGATGTTACAAGGGCTGAGCCGAAGCAGTCAGGAACAACACGAAAAAATAACGTTGCAACTAGTCGAAGAATTTTTACAAAAAAGCCTCATTTAACATTTTTTTCTGTAGAGACCTTAATATTGTTGAACGGATCCTGAATACAAATTATAGCCGTACAGTATTGATATCTACCTATATTGCTTACGTTATAATGACTTTATAGAATGTAACATATCATCTTAATAAAATATTCTGCATTGCATGCAAGAGTTGCATTGAAATTGTATTATAAGAAAAGTGACGATTGTATTTAACTAGTATTGAATTCAAAATCAATATGCCGGTATTGCAATTTCCCTGTTTGTGGCGTCTATGAGTATCTACGTCTATCTAGCTTTCTGTTAGCTCGCACGAACGTGTTCGATAGAATCCACTAATAAAAGAGTCGTAAAGACATGTGAATAGGACTATTCGACTGGATGATGAGATGAAATGCACTGTGGCTAAATTTGGATCTCTTTATATCCCCAACCTTAAAGCCTTCTATAGATCGTTCAAATAATTACTCTATACGTGAACGTACAAAGTCAACGTTAGAGCAATTACTATGGTCGGATTCGTGGTTATAAACATAAAGTATTCGTTTATTATGGACCAATTATGTACCTAGGTACGTAATATACTAGTTTATTTGCGTGCGATATGAAGCTTGGTGGATTTACTATCTCCACATTGTATTTATGGGACTGAACCCGAGAATTAGACGTTTCTTATATTCCTTCCTACTTTTGAACCAATACTGTTTCAGTTGTATCACTTATAACACAACACATTATTCAATGTTATACGGAGGGTAATTTTTTAAGTAAGAATCGTTTTGTAATGGAGTCAGAGAAACTTTATTTATGCATGTAAATTATATCACAATTTTTCATTTCTTAACATAATCACTATAAATCTTTAAGTATTTTTCAAGCCGTTGCACCAGCTTTCGAATCCCGTCAAAGAATGCTGGCGCCTGTCCATAAAACCAGTTAGTAACTAGTTCATTCAACATGTCATCTTTTTCCGAAGAACTATAATTCCTTGAGTTTTGGAAAAGTTGGAAGCTGTATGTTGATAGATCAGGGTTGTGTGGTGGATGATCCAGTAATTGCCAACGGAAATGATCCAGTTACGTGAGGCCAAACGTTGTCGTGAAGCAGAACGACGCTGCTAGAGAGCAGGCTCCGCCGGCGGTTCTAAATAGCACGCTCCTGGTGAAATTCAGCAGGAAGAACTTCCATTTCATTTGAAAACCGAATTGCTGGGTGCACTTCACAGTCAGCGGGATTACTGATTCACATGGCGAGAAACGAAGCACACAACCAACACCGAGAGAAGCGTGAAACGTAATAGCGGCATACTGAGAGACTCGTCAAGAGTATCTGAGGTTGAACGGAAGTCACGTGACAGGATGCGCAGGCACGATGCGCAATCGGTTCTTACTTCAAAAATGGCACTTGTAAATGAAGACGAGCTGTTGTATTGGTTGACTTTGTTTTGGGCGAGATGCACCATGGTTCAAATCCCGCGAAATTTGTTATAAATGCTTTTTACGCCCCGATTGGATTGGTTTTTGGGTTCAAGGATTTTATTTCTGCCATTGCATAAAAATGTTTCATAAACATCTGGAAATAGGAAATATAAATTATTCACGCATAACATTTATTTATTGGTTGTAAATAAAAGGAATTTTCCAATTACTTTTTGGCTGCTGGTAAACATAAGCACGCTGAGCTAGAATTAGGTATTTTCCTACATCGTGAGCGACCGCAGGATTTTTTCAAGGGAGTGCCAGTAATCGGCAAGAACCCTCAAATTCTAACAAACAAAACCATGCTAATTATGCAAATTTTGAGGCTCCTTTAGAATTCTAGAGTCGGACGAGATGTACAATGCAAAGGACGGCGCGTAAGTAGAAAACGGAACAGAGACAAACTGAAAATATAATAATTTGCCTTAACCCTTTCGTCCCGAACGGTACCCATATGTACCAGGCAAATTTAAAAATCCCTGCTTGTGAAATGAAGCATTTTATTTGGTATAAATCTGTACCAGTCCGGTGTATCAGGCTTCCGCAGTGTACCTACAATATGCATTTGGATATTTTGTGATTATGTCGATTTAGTTAACACGTGTATGTAGTAGCGGCAGTATTACTCTAAAGGCGGACTCCCACTACTCGTGTATTTGGCAAGTACGCCAATATTTGCGTACTTGCCAAGTACACCAAGGTTCGAATTCAATTTATAAATAGGGCGCTCCCACTACTCCTGTATTTGGCAAGTACGCCAATATTTGTGTATTTGGCAATTACAGCAGGTTTCGTTGCCTCTCGGTCTTCAGTGTTTGTTTTCTTTCCATCATGGATAGTCGCGTAGTCGCTTCAGCAGCGTTTGTGGTATTGAGTGGCTGCATGAGAAGAATTAAAGCTCATCAAGTTCAGAAAGCAAAAAGAAAAAGAAGATGGTGGATGACTTCTTTGAGCAGAAGTCGAGAGAGGTAAGTTAATACCTCTATCTGTCCTGATCTACCAAAAGCAAATACCATGCCTTTATATTCTCAAGATTGATACACTGGTCAAAATTATTTTTTTGCAGGTACAATGTCTCCATTATGATAGAGGACCTGATTCGAGAACCGTCAGGAAGGTTGGAGAATTTCCTGCGAATGTCCTACACCGACTTCGAATTTCTACTGAATGAGGTGGGACATATGATAGGGAAAAAAGATACTCAGCTGAGGAAGGCAATTTCAGTTAAGGAAAGGTTCTGCGTTGCTCTCAGATTCTTCGCTAGTGGTGACAGTTTCGTGAGTTTGTCATACCTCTTCAAATTTTCACCACAAACTGTATCCCGGTGCGTTTTCGACGTTTGCGATGCATTGATTAGCGTTCTCAACCATCAAATAAAAGTAGGTATACAACAAACATTTCTACATTGTTTATTCAGTTAAGAAATAAGGTAAAAGCATGGTTAAAGTTAAATTAAAGTATGGTCAAAGATTAGTATAGTTTTTCTGTTAATAAGGATATATCATTGCAAGTAGTTATTGGAATCTCAGGAGCAAGAGGCGGTTGGTGGGCGGAAGAAGTTGCAGAATTCTGTGGCAAAGAGGTGATCGTCGGAGTTGTATGAAAAGTTTCATCAGACGATGACGAATAGAAAGATGCTGGGGAGGCTGGTTCTGGAAATGCCAATTGATATCGAGGTCCCATCGATGACGAATAGAAAGAAGTTGGAGATTGATATTGAGGTCCCATGGACCTCATTGTTGCCCTGAAGAATAGGTTATCAATCTCGTTCATCACAATAATCCTGTCCACTTCGCTTAACGTCTCGAGCCTCTTAGCCACTAGTTGCCCATAGGCAGTACAAACAGTGGTTTTGGGTGGTTCGGTATATTGACATTGTTTCATGATTTCATAGGCTTCTTCCATACGACGGTTAGTCTCCTCCATGTCCACGGCCTTCCTTTTATTTTTCTTTGCTCCCCCAACTGGTGCCTTGAAATGCTTTTGGTTGCTTTCAGTGCTTTTTTCGATTCCACCCTCGTTGTTCGCAGATGCAGATTCCGTGTTTGCCTCGATTTCATTACTGTCTTTTCCTCGCATGTCTGCCTGTCTCTGTATATCTTTGTATGCCCCACCGTCCCCACTTGCAGACGCAGATTCCGTGAGTGAATCTTCTTCGGTTTCCTCTTGAGGCATGCTATCCTCCCAATTCTGAAATGAGACAGATGATTTTTTAGCTTCTAAGCATGATTTTACCTTCAAAATAAAGAAATTTAACGCACAGGGCGGCCCAAATTCGAGCGGCACGTTAGTGAGCACCAACATACGCAACGTTGCCACAATTTAACCAAAGCTGTAGTATACTAGGAGATCTCAATGATGTGTCTCGAATTTGGGCCACCCTGTATACGATATTACACTCTGATTATATTCATTAATAATGCTGTCTTCAGGTTTCTAGTTATTATTTCTTTATTCCAGATGCCGAGAAGTTCAAATGAATGGAAAAAAATTGCAATTGAATTCGAGAATAGGTGGAATTTCCCTCATTGCTTGGGAGCTATAGACGGGAAGCATATACTGATTCAGAGCCCAATGAATAGTGGATCAGATTTTTTTAATTACAAACACACTTTCAGTGTTGTTATGATGGCACTTGTGGACGCCAATTACATGTTCACATATGTGGATATTGGATGCCAAGGCCGTATAAGTGACGGAGGTGTATTCCGCAATACCGTTTTGGGCAGAAAACTCGAAGAAAATAGACTGATGTTACCCAACGATGAAACTCTACCCAATCATACTCAAACTACTTTTCCTTACGTTTTCGTCGCAGATGATGCTTTCGCTTTGGGACCCCATTTATTAAAACCATTCCAAGGAGTCTACGAAGCAGGCAGCGATGAAAGAGTCTTCAATTACCGGTTGTCTCGTGCTCGGCGCATTGTTGAGAACGCATTCGGAATGCTAGCGTCGGTCTTCCGGGTGTTTAGAGCACCTATGCTACTACAACCCGACAAAGTCAGCAAAGTAGCAATGACTTGTGCACTGCTTCACAATTTTTTACGGAGCAGTAAAGACTCTTCTGCTACCTATGCACCGCCAGGCGCTATCGATACGGAGCAAGACGGCACAATTATTCCCGGCACATGGCGAAGCGATGTACAAAATATGACATCTTTCCTACCCCTCAAAAAAATACCAAGAAAAGCTGGTCGTGAGGCTCAGGAAATAAGGAAATTATTTTGTGGCTATTTCAAAACTACTGGAAAGGTTCACTGGCAGGACCGTTACTGTTAAATATTCATTGTACCGTTCCAATATCTTAAAATAAAACAACCTTTCACTCACCTCTGAATTATATGTATTCCTTGCGACTGAAACCTCATGCAGAAAGCTCTCCATTTTCTCGAATGCAAACCAAGTTGGTTTATAAACGTCCTTGCTGCCGGTCCCTGTTTTTGATGATGCCTTAACTTTCCTCCACAATGGTCGAAATGACGCCATCAATGACTCTTTCTTCTTTTTCAAATCGGCAACCGTACATTCGATCGATATTTTATTTTTTATGCGTAGCCAGGCATCGTTAATCAAGTTTCTGTTTTTATGTTGTGGATGCGTAGGTTGCCATATAACTGGCTCATTTTCATACAGATCGAGAAATTCAAAAACGACTTCTTGTGACCACTCCATTTCGAAAAACCTCTAGGGGAACACGCACCACGCACACGCAACAGAAGCCAAACACAGACTCAACTGTAGAAATGAATTGCGGCCAAGCCGGCAAGTAGTGGGAGCGCATCGACAAGTATAAACTTGTCAAATACGCAAATAATTGAAAATGCTTTGACTCGCGGTATTTTTACCGACAACCTGCGGGACTTCTCCAGCTGCAAATAATTGTACAAGTAATGGCCGAGTGAACCACTCCCACTACATGGCAAATATAGGCAAGTGACAAATATTTGCCAAATACACGAGTAATGGGAGTCCGCCTTTATAAAATTAGTTATTTAGGACACTCAAAGTGCTTATTTATGCAGTTTTTTGATGAAGTTCTATTTGCTATTCAACTGTAATTAGTGTTTTTACCAAGGTAGGTCAAAACTATGTTTTATTTTTGTGTTTTTGCGTGTAATATTCATGTGGTACATATATGTACCATCCGGTATTTATGGTGGTACACATGTATACCAACAGGTCTCTAATTACGTTTATTCAGTTTCAGGTTCAATATGGATCGCCGCCATCCGCTTGCACAAAAAGAGCTGGAAGCGCTTATTGAAGATATTGAGGAAATCTCAGATTCGGAACCATTTTCTGCTGACTTCAGTGACAATTATGAACCAGATTCCGATGAAGAAGCAGGCAGTGATACCTCCGATATGTCTAACTCAGACATCCATTTTGCGCCTTCACCACTGGTAACTGTTGGTAGAAACCATGTTCTTGACTGGGTCATTCCTGATGAAAGATTTGAGCCTGCTAAAATCCTTCCTCCTGAAAGAGAATGTAAGCTGGCTCCAGATATCACTAGCAGTTGACACCTATGCAGATTTTTCATAAAGTATTTCCTCAATATCTTTATTTGCACATTGCAAATTGTACAAATGAACGCCTAAAAATCATAAACCAATTAAAAAGGAGGAATGAGAACATGACTGACAAAGGACAAATACAGAAGTTAATTGGCTGCATGTTCATTATGTGCTACAATCGCCTTCCAAGCCTGAAAAATTATTGGAGTAAAAAGGAGTCAATGGGAAATAGCACAATTAAAAAAAAATTTTCAAGGGATCGATACATGACTTTGAGCTCAAAAATGTACTTTGCTTCTCCTCAGAAACCCCCAAATGCTTAAAAAACATTATATTGAAGATTTGTTATCTTGCTTCAAATACACGTTTTCAAAGTGTCGCCAGGATAGCCAGTATCAAAGTATTGACGAATCTGTGACCAAATGCAAGGGTCGATCTTCTTTGAAACAATATATGCCCCTCAAACCAACCAAGAGGGCATAAAACTATGGCTTCGCTGCGATGCAGATGCGGGCTATAGGTATGATGTTAATGAATATTCTGGAAAAGAGGACCCAATTCCCGCCAAAAATCAATCACTAACTCTGGGAGAGCGAGACGTAACAGCCCTTGCGTCTACAGTCAAAGAAAATAATGTAGTGTTATGTTTTGATCACTATGCAGCCTTGGGAACTTACATGTCCAATCGCAAGAACGTACCAACTATGGGAGACAAGCTGCAAAAAGGGGAATCTCAATTCAGATGCACTTCTTCGGGATTACTTTATGTAAAGTGGCAGGACACAATGGAAGTTTTGCTGATGAGTAACTGTCATAAGCCCAATTTGACAACAATTATCAAAAAGAGCAAAACCGGTGAACAACAAAATATCCAATGTCCAGAGGCCATATCTTTTTACAGAAAAAAAATGCAAGGGGTTGATCGGGCAGATCAATTCATTGGGCTATATGATCATGACCGAAAATCAGCAAAGTGGTGGAAAAAGTTGAAATGAAACGTAAAAATGAGAATATTTCTTTTATTTCTTTCCTCACCACACTTGCAGAAGAATTAATATCTGAAGGTATACAAAATACAAGCTTACATTACCAAAACAAGGCGCCCCCTCAAGAAAAAGAAAATTATATGGTGCATCAGCATTACATCTTCCTGTGGAGGGATAGACAAGAAGATCCACTAGATGTTCTGAAGAGAAAAAACAAACAAGAACAAAACTCTTTGCGAGTAGTGCAATATTCCATTGTGCAAGTTCTGTTTTATGTTGTATCATACCAAATAGTTATTTAGGTTCATTTTCTTCTTTGCAAAGCTGTTTTTGTATTTTTTTCTAAATTAATATTCTTATACCATTGTTTTTTCTGTTTTTATGAATTTTCCGATCATACCTGTTGGTACGCATGTGTACCACCATAAATACCTGCTGGTACATATATGCACCACCCCCCTCCACCGTTACCTGACCAATGAAAAAAATAGATATTAATAAAAACTCATTGTAAGACATCCTAAAAATAATATTTTACACTGTTTATTATTTGGACTAAGGTATTTCAATTCAGGGACGAAAGGGTTAAAGTACTTGTAATCCTCATTATTGGATCTAGAGGTTTTTATGATACAGTAATAATGCAACAAAAGACAATCTACTAGTAGCTTGTACATTACTATTTTACACCAGTAACCCTGAGGGAGGAGAAGTTCCATCCATTAAATAATAATAAGTATAATAGGACATGCATAAAATATATCAGAAAGCCCCATTTATTGTTTCTTTCCTTTAATAATTCACGTAAAATTAAAACCAATATATGTATTTTGATTCGGCCAAACAAATCCTCTAAGCTGTGAATCTTTGTATCGAGACCTAATTGGGATATAATAGAGATTCTCCAAGTAAGTTTCGTTACTTGTTTCAGGGCGACTTTGCTGCTAGTGCCGTTATTAGGTCTGAACTTCCTGCTGACCCCATTCCGACCCGAAGATGCTGGCTCCTGGGAGTACGTATACGATTTGATATCCGCCATCACGACCTCCTTCCAGGTTTGTAGTTATTCGTAACAAATTCAAGATATCGTTAGTCTAGGAAACTAGAATTACGTCGAAGCAGGGAACCTGGAGAGGTTACAAGTCGATAACTAGCTACGATAAATCTCATCCTAATTGAGTGTATACCAAAGAGTACGAAATCCTATGTAGTATATTTCAAAAAGTTTTCCCACCCTTACTTGTTTTTTGAACAAATCAAGTTAGAAAGCTGGAATTCGGGGTATTGAAATTGTTGCATTGTCACGTGCCGAAATCACGTAACCTTTTTTTTACTATTTTGATCACTTACTAGTAATTTGAATTTCTCTTTATTAATGGTAGAGTGCCCATTCCTAGGACAAACCCTTTTCATTGATTTTCTTTTGGTAAATTTCATAGTTTATTGATTGTATAATTTCACACGTACACGTATTACATCTTTCTTTCTCAGCGATTCAGTATTGTGTTGGAAAAAAACTGTGGTTTTTCTCCGTTACTTGGCTTTTGTTTACATCAGGTTTTTTTTGCTAAGGGGGTTGAGGTGGCTTCCGGCAGTATCGGCTGCAAAACAGCTACAAACAAAGCTGGAGGAGTGTATGGTGGTTTTCCGTAATGTCCCCCACGTTAAAGATTAAAATCCCATAAGAACATGGAAGGGGTAGCACCCAAACCAAAACAACTAAACGTATGAAGGCGTACTACTCCACTAACTAGTGTTCGACACTGTATCCCAAACTCTGGATATTAAGCAAATGGCGTTCACACCACAATCTTAGGAGGAAAGTGACTGACACGAAACACCTAACCTTATAAAGGAAGGTTCAACGAGTGGCCTTGAAGAAGATACGTTTAACAGGAGAAAGTAAGGGAGAAAAACCACAGATTTTTTTTTCTAACACAATACTGAATCACTGAAAAAAAAAATATAATACGTGTGAAATTATACAATCAATAAACTATGAAATTTACCAAAAGAAAATCAATGAAAAGGGTTTGTCCTAGGAATGGGCACTCTTCCATTAGTAAAGAGAAATTCAAATTACTAGTAAGTTATCAAAATAGTAAAAATAAGGTTACGTGGTTTTGGAACGTAACAGCATGAATCCTATGTTTTAGTATAAAAGTGTCAGTTTCAAGAAGGCTGCTGCGCACCATATTGGAACATTTATTACACATTATGAAGCTTCGCTGACACCTCACTTTGATGATCATTACGAGTAGGGGAGTAGTGGCATGAAAGAGCCAGTTTTATAGACGTAGCTAAAAAATATACTCTTAATGAATGAAATGATTATTTTTTTAGTCAAACTATTATTTATTTATTAAAGTATATATTTCATACAAAAAAATCTAAAATAAGGTATATAAAACCAATGAAATATACGTTTTTTAAAAATGTGTGATTTGGCTCTTACATAACATTTCGGTATTGAAAGAGCCACTAAAAGTAATGAAAGGGCCAGCTTGTATTATAACTTGAAATTGTGAAAATTATACAAACTAATAAGTATACACTATTAAAAAACAAATGAAAAGACAATTCTAACAAATTCTTTTTAAAAACTAATCATATTTTATAATAAATATAAACTTAACATATTAGAGGCGGATTATGTTTTATCAATAACAGTGTTGAAATTAAATAAAACAACAAACAACATCTTTTATCAAAAACAAAATCGTTAAATCTATCAGAACAGAATATAATGCGTATTCTTCAAATTAGAAACATGTCTTGCAAAAGAAATTAAGGTTCCCCTTAATACCACAGCATTCATGAGCCCAACCAGAACAAATTTTGCACTGAAACCAATCTTGATCACTGTCTTTATATGTTTTGCTCCAAACTACACAATCATCACTATTGTTATTTGTCTTTGGGTTTATTTTGCTTCGAACACCCTTTGTTTTTAATTCATCCAATACGATAGAGTCAGACGAATCAGAGTCATCTTGCAGAACGGAATTTTCTTTATTTATTTCTGATTTTGTTTTAAGCGTTTTTATGGAGTCTTTTGTAGTCATTTTCTTAACAGTAACTTTTGGTTTCTTTGCACTATACTCTTTCTCCTCTATTTTTTTCCTTTCGGGAGAGTCGGTTACGATAGCAGATGACATTTTTCTATTATTTCGTTTCGTGTTTTGTCTTGGCCCCGCTTTAGAAAATGGTCTTATCATCTCCGGTGATATAATTCGTTGACTCGGATTTGCAGCCGTGGGGGTGGAGGTTGAACGGTGAGAGAGTCCGATATTCTGATCTATTAGAAGCTCATTTTCTTCGCCAGCTTCAAGCGATTTTGTAGAAGATGGAGGTGTTGTTTCTAAGTTTCTTTCCATACTTTCCTTATACAAGTTCAAACCATCGTTTGACTGCGGATCAAGTCTATCGGTCACATATGAAGATAAAAATGCTTCTTCACTAAATATATTAGAATTTAATGAATAAATTCCTGTTTTCAAAAATCCTTGTGTTATATTCTGTGGAGTGAAAGCTGGCAAATATGCTTCTTTTACAAATTGCCCAATTTGGTAAATAGTAACTGTTTTTCCAGGGTTCGTCAACATCCATTCATTCATGGCAGTGCGGTACGTAGTTTTGAAAGGCCCATATACTGTGATATCTAGTGGTTGCAGTTTATGACTGCAGTGTGGTGGGAATGTAACTATTATGATGGAGTTTTGTCTGACAAATTCAACCACTCTGAGATTTACATAAGAGGTGTGATTATCCATTAATATCAATGCTGGATTCTCTTTTGAAGGCCTGACATGTATTGCAAAGTGTTCAACCACTTTCACAAAACAGTCTTCAGTCATCCATCCAGAAACTTGAGCCAATCCTAGGGCTCCTGGCGGACCATTATTTACCATAATATCTTTATAATTTACTCTAGGAAACACAAAAACGGGCGACAGAAAACCACCAGCAGCATTAATAAAGAACAGAGTTGTCACCAATGTTCCTCGTTCGGCTGAGGTAACTTGCCCAATTTGTTTCGAACCCCTTTCAGCTATGACCTTAGGAGGATTGGTGACGGTGCTGCAGCCTGTTTCATCGGCGTTAAAAATAAAATCCTATGAGGAGGAAATTTGTATCTTTGTAAAACAGTGTTTAATTTCTCAAAAAGTGTGCTAACATTAGCTTTATTAAAACTTGTTGCACAGGATAGAGAAGTGCTTTCAGGTTTTCTCACAGTTAAGTCTTTGTGTCTGCTCATAAACCCTTTGAGCCAATCATCAGTCGCAGTTTCAACTTCTTTCCATTTGGGTGGACAGATATCATTGGCTACGGCATAATCAAATCCTAGCTTCTTTGCTTGATGTCTTGTTAGGCCATGGCACATTTTAGATGCGGTCTTTAAATAATCTGCAAGCATATTCTCCTGTTCTGTTGTGAAAATACGCCTGTTCCCTATATTAGGACAGTGTTCATATGATGAATCGCCAGACGTCTTTACTTTTTTAACGATTTTAGCTAAGTAAGCCCTCGATATGTTTAAGGCAAGTGCAGTTCTGTTTATGGACTGACCTTTCTCCAAAACTTCACTGACTGCTTCTTCAATTACCGATTTTTCGGGTCTTTTTCATTTTTTTGAGCCAGCCTCCTCCATAATGCAGTATTCGAAGCAAATAATTTAATAATATATAAAAATGCATATTTATTATTATAATAATTTATTACTAAAACTTAAATATAGGGTTATAAAAGAGCCGGTTATAAAAGAGCCAGCTCTTTTAAGGCCTATGCACCCGGCTCTTTCATAACTTATTGGTAAAAAATATATAACCTTCAAAATAACAGCAATATAAAACCTTTTGTCGCTTAGTGTTTACGCAGTTGCAAGGCCAATTATATGCACAAACTGAATCTACAATCCACATACTTATATTTGTTTACAATAAAATGCCAAAAAACTACTTAGATGGAGCAAAATACTTACTTTTGGATGCCAAAAATGTTGACTCGATGTACCGCCGCCTGTTATCACTAGCCAACTGTCAAATGTTTGTGGGTGGCGGGAAATCAGTGCTGCCACCTTAAAATAAGATCACCCACCAAATTCGTTCCTAAACCACCGAAATAATGGTGGCTCTTTCAAAACCTGGCTCTTTCATGCCACTTCTCCCCTACCTTATAAAACTAGAATATGATTTTACCGTGATTCAAAATGGCGATCTGTCGGCTACCAAAATTAAGCATTTTTGTACAATGAGTCGCTTATAACTCAATAACCAGTCATCAAAGTAATGTATCAATATTTTTCTCTTTGAAGATCTATCCGAATATGTAATAAAATATGGAAGGGTCAATAATAAATAATAAATAAAAACGCCTTTATTTTAAACTCGGCGAAGGCCAGCTGTGCTGTTAACTTAACTGAGCATGTAAAAAGTAACAACAAGCCAAAAAGAAAAGTAATATGACAAGAAACAAGTTTTACATTACATTAATTTTAGAATATTACATAACAACAATGAATAATAATAACAACAGATGTACGTATACAAAGAAAATAAGCAACAATAAACAACTTATACTTCACAGAAGCAGTTGTTTCAGTTTTCGTTTGAACATATTAGGAGACATATCTTCAAATTGACCTATATTGTATTGGTTTAGAAGTTTGACTGATGTATAGGAAAATGAGCTTTGAGTCATGGTTTTAGTTATTTTAGGTATTTCATAAAGTACATTAAAGCGTGTTGCACGAGAGTGAATCAGATTTCTACGAGTTAATTTTTCAAACAGATATGGAGGGCTTTTAGTTTTAATCAATTTATGAAGAAAGCAAGCAAAATGCAGCTTTTCTCGATTGGAAACATTCAACCATTTCAGTTCGGAAAGTTTATGACTGACATGATCGTGACGTCTAAGCTGGTAAATAAGTCGTATGCAAGAATTCTGCACTTTTTGGAGTTTACCCTTAGTAAATACATCTAAGCAAGGACCATACACAAAATTGCAATAGTTAAGGTGACACAAGACCAGTGCTTCGCAGAGAACCTTTTTTAACTTAAAACTAAGAATATCTTTACTTTTGTAAATATTGCGAAGGTTAAAATAGGCTTTTTGTAGAAGCCTAGACACATGACTTCGGAATCTAAGCTTGTTATCGAAGATAACGCCCAAATTTTTGTATTCCTCAACAACCGGTATTGCCACACCATCCATTGCTATCACCAAGTTTACAGACGCCCAATCTTTAGCTGGCCCAAAGTAGATTATGGCTGATTTATTAGGATTCAATTTCAAGCCATGATTAAAAGAGTATTTAAAAACTGAATCCAAACACTCGTTTAGCCTCCTAGCCGCTTCAATTGCGTCCGACTTAACAAAAGAAAGCTGAATCTGTGTATCGTCAGCGTATCTATGATTGTTTATGTCACCAAAGCACTTCGACATATCAGCAGTAAAAATGATAAAAAATAAAGGACCCAAAAGTGATCCCTGAGGAACTCCTCTATCCACGTTCAAGGGTTTTGATTTAAGCCCATCAATTGAGACCGACTGCGATCTGTCATCCAAATAACTACGAATAAGTTGAATAGTCTTAAGTTTAAATCCATAGTACAAAAGTTTTGCACACAGCAATGCATGGTTCAGGGTATCGAAGGCCTTGCTAAAGTCCAACAACACCAATGCCGAAGTTTCACCCCTGTCCGCAGAAAAAAGAATGTCATCTAGAACCTTCAACAGAGCCGTAGTAGTACCAAACCCTTTACGGAATCCAGACTGCAACTTGGGTAATAAATTATTATCTGTGAAATAAGTAATGATTTGCCTATAAATAAGCTTTTCAAATACTTTAGACAGCACTGGTAGTATACTAATTGGTCGCAAATCAGAGACATCCTGAGGACTGCTAATTTTAGGCAGCGGCAGGACCACAGCCGTTCTCCATTGGGCAGGAAAGATGCCCTTTTGTATGCAGGAATTAAATATGTTAACCAGCACGGGTAAGATCGTTGGACAACACAACCTCACCATGTCAAGGCTAATTCCATCTGCACCAGAGGCGTTTGACCCAATCTCCGATATTGCCCAGAAAACGTCATCTTCACTAACGAGTTTTAATTCAAATTCTGCGGTTGTACATTTGGAATTAAGATATTTAGAAATAGTATTCGTATCGACAGTGCTAGGTATTTGTCGCACCGAGTCGATAAAATATTGATTAATTAAATTTGGGTTTTTAAGATGGTTAGGAATTTCTATATTTTTTTTTAGATCTGTTATAGATATTAAGTTGGTCTAGTGTCTTCCACATGTCTTTGGATTTTTTAGTACGACTGACAAAATCAATATAAGCTCTCTTTTCTTGTCGAACAGCTGACGTAAAAAAATTCCTCATTTCTTTGTAGGATGCCCAATCCCGTAAATTTTTAGTACGTTTATATTTAGAGAAAAGATAGTTACGGTGATTCTTCATCGCACGCAACGCATCAGTAAACCACGGGGAAGGTGGCCTGGTAACTTTTTTCTCACATATTGGCGCATGAGAATCAAAAAGAGTCAATATCATATCTGCGAGAATTGCAGTCTTCTGGTTAACATTATCACAGTCTATAACCTGCCACCAAGGGAAGTTTATAAGATCTTGTTTCGATACTTAATAATTCTAGGCCTAACGGCAGAGATCTTAATATTTATTGAACAGTGTATGAGCTGATGATCGGAATGCTGATGCAAGTCCTGATGATGGACACTGCCACTTAAGAGATGATCATCGGACATGATGATGACATCAATCAAACTGGCTGTGTCTCGGGAGTACCTAGTTGGGTTAATTACAACTTGCTTGAAGTTGAAAGTATCAAGCAAATTATTAAACTGATTGGTTATGTTAGTATGTCTTAATAGATTAATATTAATATCCCCCATTATAATCAATTCATCTGTCACTGGAATTAAATTAGCTATTGATTCTTCCAGTTGGCGTAAAGCAGTCATCACATTAAAACGAGGAGGACGGTAAATGATGCCCAACCCCAATTTTATTTTGCCAATTTTGAGAATAAGCCATTGCTGCTCAAAAATTCCCCTCTGGTCCTCAGTTACATCTATCTCAACTACTGTAATATCAGATCGAACATAAGCCTCTATTCCACCTCCCCGAGACCCACGATCAACGCGATAAAACTTAAAATTGTTTATTTTAATTTCCTGTTCACTTACTTGTTCAGTTAACCATGATTCCGTTACTCCTAATATGTCCAACTTCAAATTATCTATCGAAGACTTAATTTCGTTCAAACTTAGTATCAGTGAACGTACATTAATATGTCCTATATCCTTAAATTATTTTCAAGATTCGTACTAGCCATGATAAATTATAAAAATCAAGCAACAAATGGAAAATATATATATAAAAAAACAATCAAAGCAAATGAGATAAAGGGCTACTTAAGTAGGTCATTTACTTGATTAACATTCCGGATGAAAATAATATCAGAGCCATCATTCATGCGAGCTAGAATCTTCCCCTCTCGATGCCACACATATTTGTAGCCAACACCCTTAAGTTGCCTTGAGTGTTTGAATAACTGGTACGTTTCCTTGGTCAGCTCCTCATCGACGAATATTCTAGAATCCGCATCACCACATTTAGTGTTCCTAAGTGTTAGTTTCCCTTTTTTGGAACGAGTTGTAAGAATCTGCTTTTTATGTTCAGGCTTCAAGGTAACTATAGCCTTTACGCCGTTTTTGGTTGGAACTTGTTTAAAATGAGCTACATCATTCCGAGAGATAGGTGTATCAATAAACAAAAGTCAAAATTTGTCCAACTTTGAATGGAATGTTCCACACTTTACTGCAC